TGTAAAGACAGAAAATTCCACCATATTTAGTGAGATCATCATCAAATTAGTCCCATTCAGCTCAGAACATGTGTGATTTGTAGATGTATTTTTACCCCCTGTTTCCTTGCTTTTCAGCCAAGATGTTTTCATATTGCTTTTGCATTTAGTTTTTACAGAAGTCTGGGCACAAAATCAGCTTACATGCATTAAGTCAAGAGGCTTTATTTCTCTTTGCAAAGGTTTAACAGAGTAGAAGTAGTAGTTTGTGTCAACACAACACAAGAAGAACATTTTCTGCAGAGCTCTGACATCATATCCGAGCGATCACATTATAATATTCGAGTAAACGTCTCTTTTTGTTGGAGATTTTTTTTTAAACCTCATGAGGCTACAGGATGTGAAAGGGGCTTAAGTACACGTCTTGTTTTTCTTCTTGCATCCTCGAGTTCAAAACAAGAAGCAAATCCCTTTTGAGAGCGATTGATTTAATAAGTTAATCACATGCATTGACTCAGAAGTCTGGCCGCTGAACATTTAGTGCTGAAAGCCGGAGCGCTTGGCATTCAGCCGGGTCGCCGTCTGTCCACAGAGCCGCACACAAACATTTCACTGTGTGTCGTTTGTGTCAGTCACTCGGCTCTGCTGTCATCTGCTGCTTTTTAACATGAAACTGTGCACAGAAACAAGCGGTGGCATTTAGACAGCGCTCTGATGGTATTTTCAGGACTTTCAGGGGAAACAGTTTTTTTTAAATTTCAACTCAGATGTTTTTGGCAGATAAAGTCAGCGCAGTGCTCCAAAAACATCGGTGCAGGTGTTTGGCTGTGCAAACACATTTCTGCTGTCAGCGGAAAATCTCTGGTGTCTCTGAAAATGCCAACTTATCATCAGGTTGTTCAATTTGACCACATGCAGTTTGGACTTTATACAGCAGGGTGTTTGCAGCTTTGAAGGAATGGAGGCTCCATGCTGTACTGCATGGACTTCACTTCCAGTTCTCCCTGCAGATTTGTTTTTAACCAAGACACACACAACAAGACAAAACATTCAAATCTCGATTAATCCTGCAGTTGTGGCTGCAGAAGCACAGGAAGTCACATACACACCCATTCTAAAAAGCCTGTTTTTACAGCAGAGATGAACATGTTTACTGCCTGGTTCAAAAAAACAAATAGGTCTTCTGTCACTTTCATTTCCATCCTCGTTCTGTATATTCTGTTTGTTCTTCAGTGAAGATCTGCATCTCTAAACAGAATCAACAACAACTTCTAAACGTCCTTCTCATCGAGTCGTAAATCAGAGCAGATAGTTAGAAATAAATAAGCAGGAGTTTTGCCTTTTATTCCTCACATGCCTTCAGGGCTTCCATAGCTGAAGATGTTTATTAATATACAACATTTTCTTTTTTTTTTATCAGGTTGAGAAAATGTCAGCTGTCAGAGCCTTTTTATTTTTTGCAAATAGTTTGTTTGGAAATGTAAATTCTTGATGACAGATTTTCATCCTAAAATGAAAAGTCTGCTTGAAATCCAAAGTGGTGGACTGGGCTAAACAAGGTTTGAGAACCGTTGCTGAAACACACCCAACTGCACGCTTTTTTAAAACCAGATACAAAAAAACAACCAATGAGAAGAAAGAAAATGTTTTTGTTTCTGCATTTAGAAATATCTGACACTCGTCCAGCTCCTCTCTCATCAGACCTCGTTGTGTCAGCTCCGTCATGACTGACCTACATTAAGCTGCTCGTCGCTGTCAAGGCAGCGTTAATACAAATGGTAGAGGAGGAGGAGGGTGGGGGATTAATGCAGAGAGAGTGCTGCTGATGATGACGGGCTTTGTTTGTTCTCAGTGGGAGATCACGGCGCTGCTGACAGCACGGCGGACAAAAAGTTCATCAGAAAGCCAAACACAACCGAAGAAGAGAATACAAATTATCTGACGTTTTCTGTCCGAAATAAATGATTTGTAACCTTCAAAGATGATTAAAAAAAAATGCTTTTTATTCTCTAAATCATGACTTTAAATTACTGTCCATTAGAAATATTTTTGCATGTAATTGAAATATTTTTTTGGGGTTGCAGGAAATGTTTTAGGAGTTAACCTACAAGGCCGCTGTCCTGATTGGTAGACTGGCGATCCTCGGGCCAGAAATTGAAGCCCACATTGCTCTTGTTAGCGCATGTTAGATGCCATTACTGGTTCCTGATTGGCAGCCTGTTGACACCTACACAGCTGCTGTGTAAATCAATCATGATTTGTAAAGCGCCAGTTCATAACAAGTTTTACCTCGAGACGCTTTACAAAACAGCACATGGGATGATATGCAGGAAGGATTTCTGCTTTGTGTCCACACATCCTGGTTGCTGAGGTGGAGGTTAAGCAGGCCGTGCATGAAGGAGGACGGCGGTGGTTGAGGGACGTCACAGTCTGATGGTGGAGGCTGAGATGTGCCTCAGATTTCTTTGTGTTATTATTATATTTCATCAGCCTGGCACTTATCTAACAGCGTGTGTTTGAACTTGGAATCAGCGGTCCAGAGAGAAAAGATGCCGTCTCCATATGATTTATCCTGCAGTGATTTGTTCTTTAAATGAACCATTAGAGTGCTTTTCCATTGCAGCATTGACAGCTCTCCTCGGGCTCTAATTCCACTTGGCCTCTGAAACATGCAGCAGGGGTACGGCGTCTGGAGCCCACCGGCTCTGCAGGCAAGCCTCACTTTAAAGCCTGTTTTATTCTTCTTCCTCCTTCCATTTAAAATACCGTCAGGCTTTTGAAATCATGAACCTGTCAGATGAATGAAAGGCCTTCAGAGAGCCGGTAGGAGCACGCCAACCATTCCTCTCTCTCGCTCTCTCTCTTTCACTCCCTCGCTCTCTCCGGGTGTAAACAAGGACTTTTAGTGGTTTATGGCTCTTTTTCAATAAAGTGCCGCGTGGATTCAGAGACTCATTTCTGCATGACTCAGGGCTGTTTTTCAGGAAATGTTTATATAATAATGAAAGCCGTGAGAAGCAGAAATACGGAGACTATAAAGTGCAAAACATTTTTCCCATAACTAAACTCACCTGCATGCGGGGTGAGCGGAGAGAGCTCGAGCTTCTCAGGGAGTTTAGAGGCAGAACGAATGAGAAGTTTAACTTCGGCTGGGGATGAAATGTCAAACAAGTGATTTTAGGATTGTTCTGAATGTCTTCCAAGAGGCAGAAAACTGTCTGACGTACAAGCGTTAAAGAAGATATAGGCTGAGTCTGCTCAGTGTTATTCAGAATATGTCCGGTGGGGTCTTAAAGGGGAGGGGTTGGTCTCTAAGAAGTCGATTTTGGGGACCTCTTGCTCTGAAATGAAGCTTTGACTAATCTTCACACGACCTGGGGAGCGCCTGGTGGGCTTCTTCCCTCCTCGACTCCATCATGGTGACGGTGGGGGGGGGAGCGGGGGCACAGTGCCTGTGGTCATCCCACCGGATGTGTGAGGCTGCCAGAGGCCTTGTAATCCTCCTCCACCCCTGCTCTGCTCCCCTCTCCATCATCCCCTCCACCTCACCATGACAAACCGGATCTGCTCTCTATCAAAAAGCCACAGGCTACCTCTCCTCTTTTTTTTTTCCTGCTTTCCTCACCCAGCAGTCCTCATCCCATTTGTCATTTACTCTGCCTCGGTTTGGTCCGCCTGCCCGCTCGCTCGCGGGGACAGGCTGAGGCTGCCAGGCCTGGCCGTGGAGCTCACAGACCTGGCATGGAGGAGCCACCAGTTCCCCCAGTGGCAGCATTTAGAAAGCCACTTAATGGGTTTAGGGGCATTTGCTAATTTGTCAACAAGTTTCGGATGTGTGCGTGGAGATCGCTGCCAGGCCGGTTGGTCTGGCACTTGACTGGAAGGGATCTCTATTGGCCGACTATTTCTGGAGCCATGGGTGAAATCAAATTCAAAAGCCTTCTCATTCCACACTATTTGTGTGCTGGCAGAGTCTGCAGAATGCAACGCTGCATGACTACCAAACAGGCTGGTTGATGAGAAAATGTTTTTATTTTCCTGTGTTTTTAGGACGGATTCATACAATATTCAAGGCAGGAGAAGAAGAAGATATGAAAATGCTTTAATTAAATCATCACATTGTGGTGTGTTTGTCTGCACAGATTAAATGTCCACAGTACCTGCAGAGCGGTCGCAGCTTCAGGGCTCTGTCAGGGGAATGACAGGACGAGTTTGAGCACAGTGTTAATGCATGCATGATCTATATTTACATTTATATTTAAATTCAACATTAGAAACGTAGAATCAGGAGAAAATCGCTTTCTTTTACGGGCTTTAAGTGAAGCTGCTGTGTAACTTTTATTTTTAATGTCTTTTATTATCATTTTTCCGAAGCTTTTAAGGTGACATGTTTTGAAAAATCCACTTGTACAGTGTGTTTGAACATATATTTGAGTAACCTGAGCGTCTACAGACCCACATAATGTGAAATAAACCCATCCAGTCCTTTGTTTGTGGTCTGCAGAAGTCTTACAACACAGAGAAAAATGCTTCGTTTCAAATGTGCTCTCTTTGTGATGTCATAGTGGGATTCTGGGGGAAAAAAAAACCCTTGGTTTGGAATCCCTCCATAAGGGCCCCCAAAACAGCCTCTTGCACAGGACCCCTGAAATAGCCAGGCACGGCCCTGTGAAGATGTATACAGGCGGACATTGCACATGGTATCGAGCTATAAGCAGTCACTGTTGGGAAAATAAACCTGAAACAACGTTAGCTGGAGCTTTTTACTGGTCAAGCCTTGCTCAAAAAGAGAAGAAAAAAGCAGTTTGAGTGGTGCAGTGATGAAGCTTTCCTGTTATTTTTATGACCCCTTCTTAATTCCCCCCCATTTAGAGAATGACGGGGGGAAATGAGGGAGACTTGAAAACGGCCTCTTCCCTTCACCTCGTCTATTTTGAGCTCTGAGTCTGGATAAAAATCAAAAGCAAACACCTGTCTGAAGTAAATCTGTTTCTCCTCTTGTTTTGTTTTCATCCATCCAGGGTTTCTAAGCACAGGAGACCAGGCAGCCAAAGGAAACTACGGCCTGCTGGATCAGATTCAGGCTCTCCGGTGGATCAAAGAGAACATCCAGGCCTTCAAAGGAGACCCGAAGAGAGTGACCATCTTTGGATCTGGAGCCGGAGCGTCGTGCGTCAGCCTGCTCACCCTCTCCCATTACTCAGAGGGTACGTCTGCATTCTCAGCAGCATGCACACACGCTATAGGAGCCTTTTCATCCCTTTTTAGTCCTGCTGCATCATACCTTATAATGCATTCGACTCCGCTGCAGGAGTGTGTTCACAGGGAGATCTCAAGTGTTCTGTTTCATTCAGCGCCGGAGGGAGCAGCTACGTTTGAACTCTGGTTTTAAATATGGGTATGCTCGGGGAACTTAAGTATTTTGTGAACACATTTTGGATGTAAGAATGAGTAAAGCGACGACTTGCTCCAGGAGATCAGTTTCAACCGGCAGCAATGAAAGAGGCTGAAATGGCTGCGGTGTTGCTGTCACAGTGTGTCCACAGAAACAGCTTGTTTGTAACACTGACGGACTCAGGGTGTGTGACAGCATGACAGAAACTATCCCTGCAGAGCCAGATGTTTTTATGTAGATAACACCCTCATTGTGCAGATTTGAAAAGGCAAGGTTGAGCGGTATGTTATATTTGAATCTGCTGGAGGAGATTCTAAAACTGCTGAATCTGTTTGTTTTTAAGATCCTAAAATGTTTTCTAAATGGGATTAGATTTGACTCCAACATCCTCGCCTATAGTTGTCAGATTTGTAGTTACTCGTCGTCACCAGCAGGGCCTCAGGTCGTGTATTTCCCTAAAATATGTTGCCTCAGAGAGGTTTGCAGCGTTTTGGGAACAGAACAGGAATAATTCCTGACTTTGTATGAAACACCCGAAGGACACACGGAGACCTGGAGCACAGAGAAGACACCAAGGCAAAGACAAATGCATCCCTTATTTAAATGTTGTTGTAACTCCTCGTCAGATTACTCAGATCAGCACACGCAGAGAAGGAAAGAGAAGTCTGTGTTCGTTCAAGTGTTCGGCCTCACTCTGAAAGCATCAGAGGAGAGCGGCTGGATTATCATTCTGTATTTACATCTGCTTTTTTAAATGTTTTATTTATGCACCGCTTTAACTCCGGAGCCAAAAGGTCTTCTTCTTTTTCAAAGTAGTTTCATGCCACTCAGATGCATTCATCAGACGCGAGGAAATTGCCTGACCCATCTGTCAGAAAAAGGAGGATTTGGAGGATTGCATCTAAGAAAGTGCTGCAGCAGTTCTGGGGCTATTTCCCTCTCTATGTGGGACAAACACAGGCTTTGAGAAAAATACACTTCCCCACTAAATCACGCCTTTTATCTCGCTGGTAGAAGTCCGTCGAGGTTTCCCTTAAAGGCAATCACAGCCAGGGAGACTTTCTATTTGCTCTTTTTTGGACTTGTGCTGCAGTTATTATGTCTGTTTTTTTTCTGGATGCTGTACCTTTGTGGGGAATGGCTTACTTTACATTTAGATAAAGGTCGTCATGTTCTGACGGATAGCAATCACAACCGAGCGGGTGAACAAACACTCGATTCCCTGCCAAACATTCCTCCGAGATGCAGAATACATCACAGAGGAAGGTAGAAAATGTGCTTCTCTTGTAAACTGCAGCTCTGTCGCTGAGAAGGGGAGACGTCTGCAAACATACCAAGGTCGTCAAAATCTCCGAGTCATACTGTGTATGTGTCTGATGAGACTGGAGCTTCAACTGAAACATCCGACAAACAGCAGCAGATAACCAGGCCGTCTGGGAAACGTCTGCTGTGCGCTCAAAACATACTTCTCAAGTCTGCTGGGTTGAGTCACGCCACGGTGTGTTTGCATGCATATAAATAGCAGCAAAAAACACACATATCTCCAGCGTTCCTCGTGTTTAGCGTGGCCTACTTGCTGATTGGCAGACGCTGAAGCTGCATTGTTCCAGGATGTGCAACCCGCCGGATGTGTTGTTTGTATATAAAGATAACTTTAATGTTTTGTTTTCCTCATTAGGGACAGAGGAGGCGACGTCAGTAATCTGAATCATCCTTTTTCTTTGTCTTACGGTGATGTAGGGAAGGACCGGCTTTTAAAATAACTCTGGAAATGAAAGAGGGCTCTATTTTTAAATATGGAAGGAAGTCGATGACTAGTGGCTGCAAAAGTTTTGGAATGACTCCAGGAAAGTGCGTCAGCAGAGAAACAGGCTGTAACTGCCGATTTCCACACAGTCCCAGCACGCCGTGGTCCATCAGCGGCGTTCGCTGCCACTCTAGTTGATGCTCCGGTTCCCACTGCTTAGTTTCTCATACTCACAGAATCGATTTCTGACGGAGCTAGCCGCAAGATTGCTTCAAGCTGAGCAGAATAGAACGACCTGGACAGGAAGTTAGAAAAAGGAAACAGCAAAGAGCGTCTGGTCAATTTCAAAATAAAACACTATAAACACTTACAGGCACTGAATGAACAACAAATCATCCTCAGACTCTCTTTATTCCCGCGTGATCTTGTAGTTCTCCTGTGATGTTAGCAGAGCTGATACCGCCATTGGACAGAGCAAAACCGTGGCGCTTATAAAACGCAGCATGCACGGACTATGTGGAAATAAGCAGTAATGGCTGCCATGCTATCCTCGTGGCCAAACCCCTGATCCAAGTACATACCCTCTAAAAGTAGTTTTTGTCCCTGATCAAACTCTGACACATCACAGAAAGGATCCATACAGATGTGAAGATTTGATCACATCACCAACAGCTGATGTATTTCTCTCTTACAAGCTTCCAGACTTTAGTTTGCAAACACAGAATTTGATGATCTAGAACCGAGTTTATCAGTGAGTTTGTTTTTGTTGTTTTGTGAAGAACAAACTTTCAAAGACTAAAACACAAAAGCGCTACACATCAGATTGGGAACCAGTAAAGGGTGATACCTTGAGTTTAAGATTGATACCGTGCCAAAATCTCTCAAACAAAATGAGTTGTTCCCGGGCAGCATGTTTTAATCCAGTTTCAATTTCTACCTTACAACAAGCTCAAAGCATGAACTCTCTGCTCTCAGCATTTGTTTGTGTCCTGGTGAGTGTGTTCCACTAATACCTATCTCCACTCTCAGATCTGTTCCAGAAAGCCATCATCCAGAGTGGCACGGCGCTGTCCAGCTGGGCGGTGAACTACCAGCCCGCCAAGTACACGCGAGCGCTGGCTGAGAAGGTGGGCTGCAACATGCTGGACACCATCGACCTGGTGGAGTGTCTGCAGAACAAGAACTACAAGGAGCTGATCGAGCAGTACATCACGCCCGCTAAGTACCACATCGCCTTCGGGCCTGTGATCGACGGCGACGTCATCCCGGACGACCCGCAGATCCTCATGGAGCAAGGGGAGTTCCTCAACTATGACATCATGCTGGGGGTCAATCAGGGGGAGGGGTTTAAGTTTGTGGACGGGATCGTGGACAGCGAGGACGGAGTGTCCGCCAACGATTTTGACTTTGCTGTGTCGGACTTTGTGGATCACCTCTATGGTTACCCCGAGGGGAAGGACACTCTGCGCGAGACCATCAAGTTCATGTACACGGACTGGGCCGACAAGGAGAACCCAGAGACCCGACGCAAGACCCTGGTGGCGCTCTTCACCGACCACCAGTGGGTGGCGCCAGCTGTCGCCACAGCAGACCTCCACGCCCAGTACGGATCGCCCACCTACTTCTACGCTTTCTACCACCACTGTCAGAGCGACATGAAGCCCAGCTGGGCCGACTCGGCACACGGCGATGAAGTCCCGTACGTGTTTGGAATCCCCATGATCGGGCCGACGGATCTCTTCAACTGCAACTTCTCCAAGAACGATGTGATGCTGAGCGCCGTGGTCATGACCTACTGGACCAACTTCGCTAAAACAGGGTGAGTGTTTGTTCCTTCCATCTTTTAGTCCACTGCCTTGTCCTGCATGAATAACATTAATCCATCATCTGTTCCTCTGTTTCCTCAATTTAATCTACCTTCACAGCTTATGCAGAATTACTTTGTGATACCCAAAAGATAAATTTGGAGGAGTGTCAACAAAAGTTAAATTCTGATGACTGTGTAAATGATAGAGCCGTGATTCAAAGAGATCAAGGGAAGGTTAATAAAACAAGTCAAATCCCCCTCGGGTGCTGCGGCGGTGTTATGAGAGGATTTGTTCCCTGTTTATATTTGGATCACGTTTTCGTTCCACGCACCTTGAGATTAGGTATCAGGCTTTTTTTTTGCAGCCTAGTCATACTGAAAATTCACTTTAAGGTGAATAAATAAGTCTTGATCAGCTTCACGGGCCGTGGCGTTGGCTCCCCGTTTTGGCTCTCATCCAGCTGAAGCCTGATCACCGGGGGAACGAGCTCCCTCTCTCCCTCTCTGCTTCCAATAAAGCACTGACTGAAGGCAAATTCATCACCGGGAGTGTGGCCATTTCTCAACAAGTCTCCCCGCACTCTTTTGCAAAGTCTCCCACTGTGAATCAGCGCGGATTGATGTTGTGAAACTTTTTGATGTTGGAGAGAAAAGATTTGGCACTTTGGAATTACGCACAATGAGATCGAGTGGCGCCGCCATTATGTATGGGCTGAGTATGCTGCTATTATTCTGTCACTCAGGCGTGTGGCGGCTGGTTTGCAGACGCAGGCGGGAGATGTTTTAAGACTGATATGATGGGGAATTCTTTTATTCTAAACCTTCGACATGTTTTTATTTATTAAAGAGTCTTACTGACTAAAAGATATTTGTTGCTTTTGGAAATGCTCCAGTAGATTCTGTTTGCCAAAGGGAGATTGGATAATGTGCAGGAAGGATTTCGCGTTCCTCACAGCTGAGGTGGAGGTTGGAGCAGGCCGTGCATGAATGAGGACGACGCAGTCTGATGGTGGAGGCTGGGTGTCAGGTGGTCGTAGTGCTCGATCACTTTGCTGAAGGTTGAGGAAGCTCCATCGACTCGAGAGCCCGGCTTCTGCTGCCGGGACCAAAGTCCTGGTCCAAAGCAGCCGGCCGTCCCCACCAACAATCCTGAGGAACCTACAAGACCTGAGAGCTCAGGAGCTCCTAGAATATCTCAGTTTTAGTGTTTGATATACTCACAATAACGTCCTTGCTTCACTTTGTATTCTCTCTTTAAACTCTGAGTGCTTCTCTGTTTCCTTGTCCTTGTGGCCATTTATGCATTTTAAGTTCTTTGGAAACCGGACGGTTCATGGAACAAATCATAGTCAGTACACGGAGGAATTAAACTGAAGAGCTCTATGTGTGTGAATGAAGTTAATAGTCAGTGGATTAAAAAGCTAGCTGCCTTCCCCCTCAGACACTTAAAGCTGCTCTGGTGTCAGAGTCTCATCAGAACTACAGGAAAACATCTGTTCCAGCACTCTACTCATGCTAATGTGTGTTTTCAGGTTTCATACACCTTGTCAGACTCGAGACGAGTGCGGATGTAGCTTCTAAAGCGATGTCGAAGCTAACATCAACAGATTGGTTCTTGATGGAAACATGTGCAAGCAGGGAGAGTATTTTGCTGCTCGATGAGCGCGAGGCCTGAAGCGTGTCGTTTTTTTTTTTTTTTTTTTTTTAGAAAGCTGATTCAGAGGCAGAGGAGTGGCATATTGTTCCAGCATATGTTAGCGCTGAGACGACAGCCCCGCCACATGCTATAGCAGTGCTTTATGTATGGGTCCATATGCAGACACCAGTTGGAGGGCCGACCTTACATTATGGCTCGGTCCAGACTCTTTAATGAGACATTAGATGAAGGCACAGGTGGAGCTCTGATGCACTTCGCAGATTTCCTTGTTGACTATTAATCCCTATGGGATCCAAAAAAAGAAGGAAATTGTGTTCATCATCTGTTACTACACTTTAAAGCTCAGGAGCTCCGAGGAACATATGTGGTTAGTCAGTAAGATTTACAGATCAATCCATCTTTATTTGTAAAGTGTTATCTGGAGACGCTTTACAAAAGAGCATATGGGATAATGTGCAGGAAGGATTTCTCCTTTGTTTTCCTCATGTTCCTGTTGTCCACATTTCCTGGTTTCTGTGGTGGAGGTCGGAGCAGGCCGTGCATGAATGAGGACGGCGGTGGTTGAGTCCGATGGTCAGGTGTTGGTTGAGGTAGCGGCATGCAGAAGTTCATTCACTAAATATCTTCCTGATTGATTGAACGTCCTGATTTCAGTTGTCAGAAAAGTTCCTGAGACTGTTTGGTCTAAAAAAGGCGATAGCAGAGTGAAATGTTCCTCGGGGGCTCTTTGGGTCGACGTGTTCTGAGCAGCTGGTTTAGTGAAGACACATGTTACAGCGAGATGATGCTCTGCTCCGTAATATAAACATAACTGCTGGAATAAACACGAGATTCACTCCAGGTTTTGATTTAATTTTTATGGAATATTTAATAACTTGTCGGCCCAAAAAGCATCTTACGAAATAACCTAATCTAGTGACATAATTCAGAATGTTGTTCTAAAAAGAAAAACGGCGAGCAAAGCAGAGGTCTGTAATTGTTTGATTATAACAAATAAGCCGCGGGCCTGCAGAGAGAGAGAGAGAAGGAGAAAGCAAACAAAGAGGCCGCGGCAGATTGCCTCTCGGAGTCTGCAGCTCTGTTGTTCTGCTGGCAGATATACCCCTCCCCTCTCTTCTCTCTTTTTGTTCTGCACAATCAGTGGAACAACCTCCCCAAAAATATAAGAGCGTGATTACTTTGTTTCAGGACTCTCGTCTCGGCGTTGTCTCTCTGAACACAAGCCTCTCGGTTTCGATCGGAGCCGTCAATGCAGAGCAAACACTCACTGAGGGTTCAGATGTGATGATTCTGCAGGACGATGAGCTCAGCTGGTCGCTCTGACTCGATGTGTTGCTGCACCCCGGATCCTTAGTGGTCCTCGGAGAGATCCCTGAGAGATCATTTTAGTATATTGAGTTGCTGTGTCTGTATTCATCCACCATAAAAGGGCTAAACGAAGATCACAAAGTGGTCGTGACTTTTTTTCCTGACATAAACAAGAAGTCGAATTTTTTTAATTAACAAGTTGGCGTATGGGATTATTTTTTACGTAGAGTTTCTTACCACAAATGTCTTCACTGCTAATTAGGTAAATATGGCTCCATCCATTCATGAACAGTGCAACTGTAATATTTTAGTAAACTAATTAAGTGCTTTGCATACACAGAAAAGGAGGCACAACCTTCTGACGACTTGTCTTGTAATTCTAAGAGCTTTCAAAAAGAGGAAGTCGACGTTTGGTTCTTAATTGAACAGCTCAGAAGAGAGATATCTATCTTTGTCAAAACATGTCAAAAAGCTGCGTTTAATCTGCTTGTGCAGCTTTTTAAACATCGATCAGAGTGATGAGGTGTTTCAGATTTAAGTCTGCAGTTTCATGAAGTGAAGCAGCCTGTTCTGAGCAGCTGAGACTTGTTTACACTAGTCTATGAGGAGGAGGATATGTGACCTTTACATTTTGTCAAAAAATAATTTGTAGTAAATTATTTGAAAACAGGTAGCACACACGCTTCCTTAAAAACTCTGCAAATCCAGACTCCAATAAATAGACTGCACAGTACCCTCTCTTCTGGATGCATTCATCAGTACTCTTGCACACACACACACACACACACACACACACACCCTCACTGACTGTTCATCTCTCATACAGAGACAGGACTTCATCAGGGCTCCTTGGTGGACCCCAAATTCAAATGCAATGCGTGACTCAAGATGAGTCCTTCTTATTAAGTATTCAAATATACAACTCCCCCTCCACACACACACACACACACACACACACACACACACACACACACCAGTGCAGAAACACTCCAGTGTGTGCACTCCAAGGTTGTCATGTAGCCTTCACTCCCCCTCTCCTCTCCTCTTCAAAGTTGATGAAAAGTTGCTCGAGAGGCGTCTCTCACTCCACACTAGAACCGAAAAAAAAAAAACCCTCCCAGGTGAGATTGAATATTAAGAAAATGTGACAACACACCTGAAAAGGCTTTTACTGCCGTGTGAAGGACACGGAAGATTTTGTCTGCTCATGCGTTTCAATCGTGAGTCACCTGGAAACACATTATCTGTGAACGCAGGGAGCAGAGAGGCTGAGACTCCTCAGAGTAACGACTCGTCTGAAGGTGTCATAAATGAGTGGAAAGTGGATCTAATGGACAGCAACGCTCCTTAATTGTACTGTAATGGTGCTGTAAAGTGATTTAAAGGGAAAAAGACAAATCGCAGAGTCACATTAAACTTGTGTTTTAAATGGCCGTTATGTGAAAGATGGCGGTGAAGGTGTTCTGTTTATTGATTTATGTGGTGTTAATGCATCTTCACTGTCTCTGAAATGATGTGGAGAGAGGTGTCATGTTTTTATTATCCAGCCTTATATCTCAGGTTGCATACAGGTGTCGACATGTATTCATATCAGAGGCCAGCTTGTTTTGTCGATGTGACATTTTGAAGCTCAGAATTCAAGTCTGTCCCGTGTAAATGTGTCTCTGAGTCATGACTGTCTACAATGAGGGAGAAGCTCGAGTCCCGCTGGCTGTGTTGTTGTCAGAGCCGTGTTTACATGGACGGGACGGCCGGCTCCTCCCCTTGTGTATAAAAGCTGTTTTAGTCAAGAACTAGAGAGAAGAAGAAGAACATAGTCACTGATTATTTGGATGTTAGTAAGAGTTTTTAGATCTCGGTCATATACATGCAGGACTCAGGAGATTGCAGCTCGAGCTGAGGAGAGTTTTGTCAGCCGCTTGCGCAAATTTTCTCTGTGCAAACTCGAGTGGAGGGGGGTTGGAGGTGTGTCGCTGTAGGAGAGCAGAGGCTTCAGTATGGAGGAGGCGTGGCCAAACAGTTTGTTTTGGTTTCAAGAGCGACATCTACTGGATCCAAAAGTCTTCATTTAAGTAAATGAAGGGAAGCTTGGCAAAATCGTTCAGGCATCAACTACTTTAGAGGTGTATTTATGCTCCTGATTCCTTTCCTTCTCTGCTCTGTCAATGCCAACACGCCTCAAAAAATGTGCAACCTTTTGTTCTTTATGCCAACTTAACCTCGTAGCCCCAAAGGTCATGATACTACATGGTACTGAGATTGTCTTATTCCAAAAGGTAGAGCACTGACCACGCCGCCGTACATCATGAGTTTGGAGGGACGCTGTGTCGACATGAGATCATTCACATCTTTGATTCTCTTCTTTCTCCTGTTTTCCTTTTTTCAGGGATCCAAACCAGCCGGTCCCACAGGACACAAAGTTCATCCACACGAAGCCAAACCGGTTCGAGGAGGTGGCGTGGACCAAGTACAACCCTAAAGACCAGCTCTACCTTCACATCGGCCTCAAACCTCGAGTTCGAGACCATTACCGCGCCACCAAGGTCGCTTTCTGGTTGGAACTCGTCCCCCATCTGCACAACATCAATGAATTCTTTCAATACGTGTCAACCACCACAAAGATACCTCCACAGGACACCACGCCCTACCCTTACACAAAACGCTTTCCTGGTAAGAACAACTGGCCCTCCACCACCCGCCACCCGGGTGTCCCGCCCGCCAACACCAAACAGACCACTGACCAGCGCAAGAGCGGCGACCTGACCGACGAGTCGACGGTGGTGATCGAGACGAAGAGGGACTACTCCACGGAGCTGAGCGTGACCATCGCGGTCGGAGCGTCGCTGCTCTTTCTGAACATCCTCGCCTTCGCCGCACTCTACTACAAGAAGGACAAGCGGCGGCACGAGTCCAACCGCCGCGTCCCCACCCCTCAGCGCAACTCCAATCCGTCCAACACGCCGTCCACCGCCAACGACGTGGCCCACCTGCAGAGCGAGGAGCTGATGTCCCTGCAGATGAAGCAGCAGCAGCTGGAGCTCGAGCACCACCACGAGTGCGAGACGATGCAGACCCACGACACACTGCGCCTCACCTGCCCGCCCGACTACACCCTCACCCTGCGGCGGTCGCCTGACGACATACCCCTCATGACCCCCAGCACCATCACCATGATCCCCAACTCTCTGGCTGGCATGCAGCCTCTGCACAACTTCAACACGTTTGGTGGCAGCCAGAACAGTACCAACTTACCCCACGGCCACTCCACCACGCGGGTATAGCTCCAGCGGGACGGGACGCCGCCGGATTCCCTCTGGACCGGCCAGCAACCTCGCAAGGCAAGACGAGATCAAACTGTGTGAAGCACAGGCTCAGCAGATGTTATTTTGCTACCACGCCTTCTTGAGAAGTATTTACAACATGAATGGAAAGTGAACTTCAAAGTGAATGTTCTTATAGTAATAACTCTATTTGAAGGTTTCAGAGTTTGACCAAAAGACGAGGCGAGCAGGGGGGGGCGACTGTGAGCGTTCTTACAACACGACGTGAACAGTTTGAGTGCGAAGCTTCCGCTGAGGCTTTTGTGCCATAAATACTCAACAGTTAGATGACGGCAGCAGCTGTTGAAAAGCAACAATTGAGCGTCTGGGACTGCGTCAGACACTTGGGCACACAATTCTACACCCCAGCCTGAAATGTATTTATGAAACTTTGTATAAAAGAGAAAACAAGAAAAAAGCTATATCGATGTGTGTGGAATTTTAAAAATGTAAAAAAAAAAGAAAAATATTCAAAGAGCTCCTGCTGTTATTGTTTTCTTTTTCGGGCTGAGATCTTTTTTTTTTGGGGGGGGGGTTTTTCTTTTCCAGGTTGTAGATTTTTTTTCCCGTTCCGGTGCGTGTAAATATCCCTGAAACATTCGTCATTCTGTTTCTGATTACGACCCGTGTTTCATCTGTTTGTTTGTTTGTTTTTTTTTTTTTTACAGAATGACCAAAATGCGAACACAATCCCACCCTCGGAGAGTTGCACAGTGTGCGTCTGCAGGCCACCTCATCCAGCACTGTCTCGTGTGTTGCTTTTTCGTTTCACTCTTTTTCCACATTGCATGTGCAGGACGAGCTTTTCCTCTCCGTTTTTAAGACGAGTCTCGCGTCTGACAAGGACGACTCGCCCGCTCCCATCACCTGCCACCATCCTGTTCTGCTCTCGCTAGTTTTCTTTGTGGGCTTTTTTCTGTCTTGCGATCTCGGCGCTGCCTGAGCTTACAATGTGACCAGCAATGTATTATTTAGACATAAAACAGGCAGCGGGTTTTTGTATCGATATTAGTTGGATATGTTTGTAAAGAAATATATGTTAGATATTTCAAATTGTCATATGCTAGCAATATGTAAAGTATTGTGCCGGGCTTGTGATACTTTGGGTTACAAAAAGCAAGTGAATGAGTGTAAATATTAATGATATTAATTATTATAAAATGACAAACATTAACTCTCGTTCTGTTTTGCATCCTATTACAAAAAAAAAAAATGGACGAACATCCAGAAGATTTTAAGCTACGTTTGTAAATTCTATAAAAGATATATTCTTGCCGTTTGGCCCCGAGACCAGTCGAGACAACGAGGGTTTTAATGTGGACTTTGGGAAATCTTTAGTTTGTCTTTTATTTGTTTGCAGTTTTGCCTTAAGTGATGATAGAGATATTTCTGGCTGGACACCTGTATAAACTTTTTCTGCAACATTTTTAATAAAATATCACAGTATTTTCTAAAAAAAAAGAGAACAGAGACATGTGGGGGCTTTCATTGGTGTGTGTGTGTGTGTGTGTGTGTGTGTGTGTGTGTGTGTGTGTGTGTGTGTGCAAATGTGATTGGATGCCTGTTTATATCAGGTAGAGCAGTGGTTCTCAACTGGTGGGTCACAGAGCCGTTTTTCAGCGGGTCCTGATGGTGTGTCTTTGTTCTGTCACATTTTTACCAAGCTGTGCAATTTTTTCATCAAACAAATCTCATTGGTTAAAAAAATATCAGAAATTTGGGTCAAGATTTCTCATGGAGCAGTTGGCTGTGGGTCCGTGAGGCTAGACTAGTTGAGAACCGCTGGGTTAGAGTTAACTCTAAATAATCAAAAAGCTGCAGTTTGTAAAGATGAAGCTGTTTGCAATTCTTTGCATTTAAACTTTTCCTTTGAGCAAAATTTACTGCAACTTTAACTCCTTCCACTTTGAAAACCACTGCAGAAAACACAACGTCACAGCTTCACAGCTTCACATCAATGGAGGAAAGTCAAATACACAAACTGCATTTCTCCTTTGATACAATACAAACTCCGCCATTATCCCCAAGCCTCTTGCTGCACTGATGCAGTTGTACCTCTCATTGAGTCGGACTCGATCAATACGTGCAATCTAGCCGCTGAAACTTTAAAACATTGAATTGCATCTGCAAACAGTTTGTGCTCTGCCAGCTAAGCTGAATCCTCTTTGTGGATTGCTGTTGTGCTCCGTAAGGGAAAACAAGATGCGCTTCTGAGCTGAATGGCAAAGTGAGCTGCTGCCGTGGTAACAAGGCCTCCCCCGACGCCCCCATCATGTACTCAGGAAAACTGTCTTGAAGTCGCCCTCCCCATCAGCACCACCTTCGCTCCCCTTCGCTCACTAATCAATCTATTGATCGTGTTTGCAACAAGCCACGATAATTAGCTTTTGACTTAAAGCTGAAGTGACAGGAGGAAAATTGAAATCTTTAATAGTAATCTGCAGTTACTGAGGCGCAGTGAATGTCTCCATACAATCTCCTGTGACATTTACAAAGCCCCCCCCCCCCACCCAGTTCCCATGAGCACAGGGTGACGTGGGAAAATCTTTTATGAGACGGGGAAAACTTTCTTTCATTTGTTAAATTGTTTGATCCATAATATATGATCCAGAGAACAAGCCGCATGCATACGGAGATGAATATTTATTTTGAGACTCGTGCAAACAAAGCTGGGGGAATGAGCAAGAACCCTTTTAATTGGCACGTTGTTTATGCTTAGGGTAATGGGGTGGAGGCTTGGGGGGCGGCTGATGCCTGAGAATGACGGTAAGGGGGTTGGGGTGGGGTGGGTGCTGAATGTGAGACTTGACTGGAAGTTAATTAAGCCGGCAACAGCGCTCCATCATTCAACCGCGGTCCCAGAACTGTCATTCAAGTGCAGCGCTCTCCAGGCAGCCATTACCGAGGCGTATCGATCGCCATGGTGACAAGGTGGCGCACCAAATGGGAGTGGGCAGAGATGAAGGTTGTGTGAGTGTGTGTGAGGTGAGAGTTGGTGAAGTGTTTTCTAGGCACACAGAACCCAGCTGCAGAGAGAGCACCCCCCCCCCCCCCCCGCCGCCATGCTCCCCAAACATGAATTAAAATGCAGGTAAATACACGGCAGCAGAGCCGCTTGATTGCATTCCCCTCCCTGGGTAGCTGCAGCCTTAATAGATGAATATGAAATCTTCAGAGTCAATATATATGCAGTTAAGTGGTGAGGGAAAGAGGCAGCGGTAATGGCCTCCAGAAATCTCCCTCTGCATTTTTTACTATGGGAAATATTGTCCTCCACTCCCTTTCAGACTCCTAAATAGTTTTTGTGTTCAGCTGCAGCTCGACGTCGCCGACCTGAGGATTCCTCCACATCACCCGGTGTCCATGTAAATGAGGGACTCAGAGGTGATGGCCGCAAAGGATCATGGGATTCGTCTAAATCTAACACAAGATTTCTAAAATAGTGCTTCCTGGGATTAATGAATGTAAAGTTGTGACACTAATAGTGTGTTTGAATTGAGACAGAAAGTCTGCACCATCGTCCTCATGGGCCTCTCTCTGACGTCAGACTTTCACTTTGAAGCTCACAGATCCAGAGCAGACAGAAGCACTGTGTCCGTTAGATGTGGTCAAAAAGCTCTCTGGAAGAAGTAATGTTTATTGGGATCAAGCGGAGCCATTAACAACGTCACGTTTCCCAGAATAGTCAACAGAAAAGATTCCCGGTTTCCTTTTTGGAGACTGGAGGAGGACTAAGATGTACGAGCTGGTTTTGTGAAAGGTTCATTTGTTCTGACTTAAAAAGGAAAAATGTGATGCGGAAGTTTACTGGACTGTAATTTGGACTTTGATCCGGTCCGATTTATGGTCTTCGTGTGTGTGTAATGGACTGACCAGCAGGACCCGGCTGATCTCAGAGGGGCTAATGCTGGAGGGTGAGGGGGGTGGGGGGGGGGTTGTCTGGGGGAAGCAGCTGGTCCGCTCTAATGTCCCTGTTTCTCCTTCTCATTGTCTGGCCACAACATCAAATGGATGCCAATGGACTCAAATGTTTAATGCACGATGTTTACAGTGGACGGCGTGGCCTGGAAAGAGAGCAGAGAGGGGAGGAATGAACGAGGGAGTTTATTTTAGAGGACAGATGGAGGGGGATTACATGGTCCAGCGTCCTCCTCCTTCTGATGGTGGACTTGAGGGAATACATATCGTCTTATGATTGTTGGGATTTTCTGCACCGGTCGAAAGCAATTGTCTTCAGATTCATTGAAGTGTTGGTGCCAAAGATATTCCTGAGGTAGAATAGTGAGTGAAATTCATGCACAAGGTGAAAAAAAGCTCCCGTCCAAACCCTGGCGGAAGCATCTGGTGCAGAATATTCAAATCATTTTCAGGCCCGCAGCCAAACCTTGGGCTCCGGATTTGCAAAATGTTTACCTGCTTGTCAACCGTGTGAGTGAGATTTAATTGAAGCCTTCAGAGGCTGCATGTTTCATTAGTTTGAAGCTTCTTTGTAATTGAATAAAATCATCAGTGGCATGAATATTCTGCAGCTCCCCGAGCGATTGCAGCAAAGATGCACCGACGGCTTCAGCTGGAAGGAAAACGGATTCTGTTACAGAACGAGTGAAACAGTGTTTTTTTTTTAACATAATAAAAATCAGCAGCAGCTACTTCCTCTTCAGATGAATGTTTTACCTTCACGACAAAGTCATGCACAGTGATGCATCGTTCAACCACGTGGCCTAACGCATTAATCAATAATTCAGGAGTCTTGAAGGGAAAGCATGTTATTATTATAAATGATATTCACATGATAATCACTCTGAGGTCCAATGTGTTTTTTGGGATGATTAATGTGCTGCATAAAATGTTCTTCAGGTGGTTTGCAGGGCTGACTAGCATGAACGTTTCTATCATGTTATGTGTGATTTGTATTGACTGAGCCAGAGCTGTTTATCCTCCAGCAGGGAACAACCGTCCTCCACATTCTGCACGATGCCGACAGACGACTGTCATCATGCAATTGACGTTTCCTGCTCAGACAAACACACTCACGACCAAATTCATGCAGCACATCTCTGATAGATGTCACAGTGAAGACAGCAGTGACGCTGGAGGGGTTAGCACTAAAAAAATCACACATTCCTCAAACATCATGTTGTGAACATTATGTCCCTGTTTAGGTTGATGTTCTTCTTTACAGCCTGTAACATTTTCTGCAGCTGGAGACAGTCAAGATTCTCACATTGCTGTATTCAGCTGCAGCTCTATATATAGCCGCAGAGTGAGGAGGGCGAGCGTCTCCCTCTGATGGAAACCACAGCATGTAGGACATGGAGGTCAGCGCAGGGTGATATTCTGCCCCGCCGCTCCGTCGCTGGATGAAACAGCACCGATGATTTATGGCGGCGGGCTGCACGGGGAGCAGTGTTTTCAGCGGCCCCAGCAGACACACCAAATTGGGTTAGT